ACAGCATAGCTTTGATGACCAAGAGGTTACATATATGGTCTTTGTATGTGTGGCTGTTATTTCTGGAAATGTGAAAAAGGGAAATAAATCTCAAATTTTATGTACTACAGTAAAGACTTTAAGACTGACGGATATCAGACTAATATAGTCTAAATATATGTAAAAGTCTTTAAACACACACACACACACACACACACACACACACACACATATAAAGTCTTTAAATACATATAAATCTTTATGAATACCCAAGTAATCTCCTAGAATTAAAATATAAGTAGAGATAAAATAAATGAACTATATTCTATTATCCCAATATCAGGAAAAATAGCAGAAAATTAAACTAAGAAATTCCTATAAAAACCTATTAAGAGAATAACAACTATGAGCATAAATCTATTCTAGCTAGAGATAAGCACTGACTACGGACCATATTTAACCACAAAACACCTATTACTTGTCCATGGGATGGGTTTCCATTGACTATAGTTGAGGGAAATGCGGACCTAAAGAAAAGGCACTGCTGCTAAAAATGGGGTCTTGCTCTTGCTTCCATGCTTTCAGCTAGGCGACCATGCAGAACTTGTCCAGAACTTATCTAACTCTCTAACTGCCTGAGTTAGAGAGTCCAGAATCTCTAACTCAGGCAGTAGTACTTACTGCCCACAGATGGGATGTGAGAAGCATGCATACAACATGGATAGCACCTTTTAACAGGACAGCTACCTGTGAGCTCCTAGGTGTGTTACTCATTACAATTTTGAAAGAATTAAACAACTCAACTTTTATAAAATGCATCAGTTACTCTTGACATTACAGAAGGAAATATCATGCTTTCTAAAATAGAATCAACTTAACTTGTACTTGAGTTTATTCTAAGTGTGGACAGGCACAAACTCTAACTATCTTATATAAATCAAAGTGCTTGCTGATCTTAATGAGAAGCTTATTAGAGAACATGGTATTTTAGAATAATTATTAAATATATATTTGTACATCAAGGTATAAATAAATTTTTATTACTAAATAAAGAGCCTCAGGCCACTACTGACCTTACTATATAAACAAATATCATATATGAAGCACTCAGCTTTAAAACAAAATGTATTTATTTATTTTTGAAGATTTTTATCTACCTGTTTGAGAGAGAGAAAATAAGAGAGAGAGATCAAGCATGATCGGGGTAAGGGGGTCAGAGGAAGAGGGAGAAGCAGACTCCCCTGCTGAGCAGGGGACCCAAGTCCTGCTGAGCAGGGAGCCCAAAACAAAAATGATTTTAAAGTGGTGCCTGGGTGGCTCAGTTGGTTGAGCATCTGCCTTTGGCTAGCATCATGATCCCAGAGTCCTGGGATCGAGCCCCACATCGGGCTCCCTGCTCAGTGGAGAGCCTGCTGCTTCTCCTTCTCCCTCTGGGGAGCATGTGTTGCATAAGCAGCAACCACTGCTTATGCTCTCTCTTTGTCAAATAAATAAATAAAATCGTTAAAACAAAACAAAACAAAAACAATTTTAAAGCTGCATTTGCTTCCTTACCAAACTGATAAAGAATCATACGACTTAGATTTCCCATCACATGGAGAAAAGGGCACTCTGATGCCGGTGGTATACAAATTGTCACACACTTCCACGTGCCCTAAACATATCCCGTGAATTGGTAAGACTATCTTAAGGATTTTATAAAGATGTTTAATGTAATACTGCTTTTAATGGCAAAAAAATTGGAACCACCTAACATCCAAAGCAGGAGCGTCATTAAATCATTCAGGGAATGTATTAGGAGTGCTATGTTGTTCATATATCTGTAATAACATACTATTTCATGTAGAAAATGTGTATAACATTAAGTGCAGGAAAAAGCAGATTGCAAAATAAATTCTGCTCCCCCCAATATACCTGTGTGTTCAAGTGTAGCTAAGATTATTGTAGCATAATTATTTTCAAGTATAAAAAAATTTTAAAACACCCACAGGCTCTCCCTTTCCTTTCTCTTATTAGCTTACTTATTACATGAATCACACTAACCAATTAATTCAGTTTGGATTTAACATTTATGCATGACTTGGCAAATTCTACACAGTTCCTGCCATTTAATTCCACCTTATTTTAAAAGCTGGATAATAGGGAATCAATTACTCTAAAACATTTCACAGGTAGAGATCATAAGGAATTCGGGATAAAAAGATGTTTCAAGGGTGCCTGGGTGGCTTAGTTGGTTAAGCAACTGCCTTTGGCTCAGGTCCTGATCCTGGAGTCCCGGGATCGAGTCCCACATTGGGCTCCCAGCTCTGCGGGGAGTCTGCTTCTCCTTCTGACCCTCTCCCCTCTCTCATGCTCTCTCTCTCAGGTAAATAAATAAATAAATAAAACCTTAAAAAAAAAAAAAAAGGTTGTTTCAATATGAACAGGAATTATTGGTTCTTTCTAGAAAAAGAAATAGGGGCACCGGGGTGTCTCAGTGGGTTAAGGCCTCTGCCTTCGGATCAGGTCATGATCCCGGGGTTCTGGGATCGAGCCCTGCATCGGGCTCTCTGCTCAGCAGGGAGCCTGCTTCCCTTCCTCTCTCTGCCTGCCTCTGTGCCTGCTTGTGGTCTCTCTCTCTGTGTCAAGTAAATAAAAAAATAAAATAAAAAAAGAAGAAATAATCTCAGTATTAAGAAAAAAGACAATTGCATTTTTCACATAGAACAGTATCCAAATCTATGGAATACAATCCTCTCAAGTTTCTAAAAAGAACTAGGGACTATTTCAAGAGCTTTTCATAAGCTTCTAAAGGTAGACTCTCAATCTTATTTATCTAGAACTAGCCCAACACCTGCCCGGTCCTATGCACTCAGTAAGTATTCAGACATGATCTAACTACTTAATGCTCCACAGTGACCCATTTTCCAAATTAAGAAACTATGTTTCAAATGGATAAAGTACCTTATTCTAAGGCACACTATTCCTAGGGATTCTCATTCATCACTGCCTGATTTTGTGACTCACTATTCCACGAGCCAGAGCTGGGCAGCCCAAGACTCCACATGCCCTCCAGGGCAGGGCATGAGACAGTCGTCTTCTTACACCCAGGACAGCTGCTAGTACAGACTTGTACAGAGTCAAGGGGCAAAAATACATGCCTGTCAACACCACAGACCTTCTCATTTGTATTCTATCAATTTCGGGTTTCCTTCCAGATAAATTATTTCTTTAGGAGCAAGAAGGCAGCCGAAGGCAGCCATTCAACCGACTGAGCCACCCAGATGCCCCTGAGTGTGGGACTTCTGATTTTGGCTCAGGTCATAATCTCAGGGTCCTGAGATAGAGCCCCACCTTGGGCTCATGCCTAGCGTGGAGCCTGCTTGAGCTCCCCTCCTTTTCCCTCTGCCCCTACCCACCTCTCTCTAAATAAATAAATAAATAAATAAAATTAAAAGCCCACAAAAACCACCTGTATTAGAGATCAAAGAGAAGTATTTCAACATTACAGATTTGTTCTGGGTTAAAAAAGGACAGTAATATAATAACTGCATGTGTGGGATTGCTATACTTATTCTAGAAAAGTCCTTGGTGTGCACGGTTTCATTAAAGATAATAAAATAGATTAAAAAACCACAATTTCCTTATATCATAAATAATACATATGCCCAAAGAAAAGTGATACTTATAACAGGTGATTCTTCTGGTTGACTCTGTAAGTCCACCTCACCAGCAACATGGATGAAAGTTTCAGTGCTCTGTTTTCCTCATCTAAAAAATCAGGAGTGGGCCCAAATCTCTAAGGAATTGTTGACTGTGAAATTTGATTTTAGAACTCTCATTTTACCAGGTCTTCAGAAACTTAACATTGCTTCTGTTAAACATTTTTAAATAAAAAAAGACATTCATTTTCCTTTTAATCTCTCCAATATCCTGAAAGTTTCCATGAAACACCATGGCAGTTGCAGGCATGGGTAGGAAAGTATAAGACATAAACAAAAATTTTGTTGAACGTCCATGTTAACACAGCTTTGTATCTAAGACAGAGAACAGATATGGGCAAATTCATTAATTAAAATCCTATTAACTATTTCTCAGGTTAAACTATAATTTATTAAAACAGGGCAACTCCCTTGATGAGAATTATTCTGGATACTAATCAACCAGAAGGTGTGCCCTTGCTTGGAATTTAATTTTGCTTTATTAACAGTTCATGCCTAAGGAAATTTGCTGAGTATATTCGTTCTTGGCAGGTGTGTTAGCCAAGAGGTCTGCCCAGATGATAATGTTAACAACTAGGTAGAAAGAGGAAAGATATGTGGGTTTTACAATTTTGAAAACTAACTGCAAGACAAAGACATTTTTATTCTACCACACATACAAAAGGAAAACACTTAATTTTTCCTAAAAATAGTATCTCCTATTTTCTATTATAAAGATGTCCCCAGTGATGTACCACTAAAAAAATTCTGTACCATTGGGCCTGCCATCCTAGACTCATATAACCAGTAACACTTCTTCTTTGGCAGTTTTAAATATACAAATCTCTCTAGAGGGTACAGTCCTTCAGACCCACCCAGGTGATCCCACAACATCTCAGCTGCTCAGTCACTGAGACTCCCTCCTCAAGGCCAAAGCAACCATAAGTTCCCTAGAATAATAAGCACCTCAAGAATTGCACCCATGCCTCTCTCCTGCCCTTAGAGAGGTTTCGATCTGTTCCACAGTAGTCTTTTATTCTCGACAGAATTGCACTTCCAATTACCAGCACTTGAGAATATCTAAATCTTCCTTCATTTAAAATTCAACTGTGTAGGAAGTCATAAAAGGGTTTCAGCACGGGTGACCTCAAATTTGCTAAACTGAAGCCACTCATTGGCAGAAAACGACTCAAAAAAGTCCTCCTAGAAATTCTAAAAGATACAATTAAGAGAAATGTCTTATTCAAAAATAAGATTAACTATTTAAAGAGCTAAAATAAAAAAATCAAGGTACAGTTAGAATCTAGTAGCCCAACATTTTCCATTTCAGCCCCCAATTACCTCTCCCGAGGAACGGCAAACCAGTACTCTGGCTGCTTTCTTCGTTTGCCATACTGCTGGACCATGGCTGCGCTCTGAGTGGCAAAGGATTTTCTCATCGGCTTTCCTACTTTAATGCACAGAAACATGGGTGGGGTCTTGCTTTTCTCCTCTTTTGAAGGAAGCATATCTGAGTCATACATGGAAAAAAAAAAAACCTTCCTCAATATTGACAATACTGGTGAAAGTAAAACCTTTCAACTTGTAAAGAACAGTTCCCAATCCCCTCTTAGTGACAAAAAAATCAAAATATATGACAGAAACACCATCATATTAGAACTAATCACATTTTCCAGACCTTCTTTAGCACAAAAAGGACAAGGTTTGCAGTTTCGGTTGGTTCTGCCTCACAGAAGATGCGACATGCTGGGAATAAGCATAAAAACCCACGCAATGCGGCACTTCACAAGGATACCTCCCAAGGAATGACACTGAGGACCCACTTACACCATAAGGCAATCAGGCTTAGCACTGAATTATCTTAAAAAACATTTCAAACCCCTTTAGATTTAAAAGTTCAAGGTGAAAAGGAAAAGTTCCTTGAAATTAAAAAACAAACTACTTTTGACCTAGAAATCTAGGTCACAGTTCAAGACCAAAATAGATACTATTTAATGCTAAGTTTTTCCCAATTAATGTTATCAGTAAAGAATACCGTCTGTTGAGAGAACACCATTCTCAAACAATTGTCCTAATCTCGCTTGTATTCACAAGTTTCAGAAAGCCAACGGTACAGCAGGCTATGAAGATACTAAAGAGAAGTGGCTTACCTTCAATGGGTACCTGAATTCTCTTTAACAGCCACAGCTGAATTTCGGACTTATTATCCATTTGTGCGCCTTGGCAGCTGTTGTCCAGAGTAGATTCTGAAGAGGCGTCTAAAGACCCTTTATTCACATTTTCTTCTGTAGAAGGCGCCAGTTGCAATGGGAGGGACACTCTGTCTTTCACCCAGGTTTTATCTGGCTCCTTACTGCCCTCAGTTGGGGGACCACCCACCTGGGGAAGAGAACTACTAAGGGTGATATCTATTCCCACTGGCTCAGTCTTTTTGTCATCACTTAACTCTGCCTTCTGCAAGTTTTCAGTTAACTGTGACCCTTCTTTGTTCTTATTAAGGTAATACTCAATGAGTTTAACTTTATCAAGATCTTCATGTATGTTCAGTGTGTTTTCCACCTGGCCTTCCGGGGAACCAGACTGCTTGTCCACCTCTGGCATTATATCTTGCTTCTCACAGGTTTCTAAATCTAGGGCCCCCTTCAGTTCGGCATCATTATCTGCTCCTGAAAAGTTCAGGGCTGACTGGACCTGCATTTCTGTAGTAGAACCGATGATGTGGGACTTAGCCTTCCCTACCTCTCTTGGGTCAAGAGAAAGGCACTCCTTTGAGGTGTCTCTTTTGTCCATTCCACTGTCGGGTTGAGAAGAAAGTTCTTCCAAGTCAACAAAGTCATCATCTTCCCCTAAAAGGGAATTTTCTTTGGCTATAGATTCAAATGCAGCACGAGTGTCAGAAGGCTCCTTGCTGACCTTAGTCACTGTGGTAGATCCACTGGTTGCCTCTGTAGAAGATTCCAGTATCTTTAACTTTCCTGACAGAGAGCTATCTGAGGGCTTCATGTATGTGTGTTCTGTTGACGTCTCCAAAGGCCTTACTGATTTGGAATCTGAAGTGATGCTTCTCTCCCCATTCTGCTGCCGTTTTTCCTTGTTGAGAGACTTGAACTTACTGAAGGGGTTGATGTCTTTTTCTGAAGCCAGGTCTTCCCATTCTCCAGGCCTGTACAGAGGACAAAGATCCTGAGGTAGGTCACTGTCGGGGGAAAAATGGTGGGTGCACATGGAATGTTAAAAACAAAACCAAAAACAAAATGGAGGAAAGGCAAAAATTAAAACAAAACCCAACCAAAAACTAAAACATAAATATACCACAACTTAAATTTATGTTGAAATGATTTCAGAATAAGGAAATGAAATCAAGAAATTGACTTCAAAAATGAAACATAAATAAATCACATGAAGGGGTAAAACAAAGAACCATGAGAGCTGCATATCCTACTAGAAGGACATGAATGATTTTTGAAGTCATTTATGAACATGGAGATATCACCTACCAGATTTTTAATGATGAAACAATGTTTCTGATATTCATGAAGGAAACGACCAAGGAAATGTTTTAGTACTATGACCTAAATTCTTTAAGTACTCAAAGCTGTTCCTTTTTATAAAATAGGATATAAACCAACTACATTAATTCTGAATGGCTCATTGACTGAGTAGCTACTCATTTAACTGTTTTATAAATTACTAGCCCTGAACCCTAACTTTGAGTTTCAGCACTTGGACCTGATGTTTCCAGTAACAGATTCCTTCTACTCCTGAGGGAGATGCAAGAATTTTGTCCTCTGTATAGTGACTATACAGCACTTGCTCCATTTTACACTTTAAAATTTATAGAAAAGAAAATCAAGTAAGCTCTTACAATACTTAGGTTAAAATTCTTAATTTCTTGAATCATAACGACACCATTTTACTTTATGGTAATGGGCACTGGTTTATCAGCTGAAACATACTGTCCCTTAAAAACAGATGCTTTTCTACCCAGATCTGAATGACACAAGAATATTGATTAGACATGTTTTCCAAAGTTTAAAACAAATGCTCGGGAAATATAATATTTGAGCCTTGACTGGCACGATTGTGCATAACCTGTATTTTCATTTACCTTAGTACTGATATGGGATTTAAACACAGATATATAAAGACCCTTTTTAAAAAGAACATTTTTAGATTTCAGAAATAATTTTGTTTTCTAAAAAGGCTAGATCACATTCAGGTACTACTTTATTACTCTGGCTGTCCAACAACTAGGGCAAGAAAGCCACAAAGTACCAGGAAGTCCTCAAGTTGTAAGAATACCCCCCAGACTTATAAATCACATGCGTGGAACATCCATGCTTTTTCCAATAGCAAATAAAGGCCTACATAATAGCTAGGCTTTGACAGATGCTTGAAAACTTCTTTAGTTCATAATTCATTTCAATTCAATAAGCATTTGTTGAGCCCCTACATGCCATATGCTAAACGATGATTCCGACAGTGTCTTTGCTCTGCAGGAACCTGCATGCCCAAGAATGTGCTACCCAACACTAGCATCCCGGGAGACATGAAAGATGCTCCAATCCCAGAGTCAAATAAACTAGTGTCATGTGTCCTAATTTCCATTTTAGGACCCCACACTTAATGTGGCATAGAAACTCGGCTCTTCACAACGCTTGGTTAATAAGCCAAACTTTCTTCCATGAACATCCAAGACCCCATCTCATCTCTCCCTTCTCTGCCCAGTTGGCTCCCACGAACAGATGGGACTGCACTCTGCTCAGCCTCCTATATTACCCTGTCCACCCCTCCCTTCCTCCTCATCTACCTAGTCCAAGTGGGGATTAATTTACCTGTTTTTTTGCGCTACAGCTGCCAAGCACTGTTGGGGCAAAGTACACAGTGGAGTCAACTGCCATGACTGTTAATGTTTTCTAGACTCCGCCAGACACCCAAGGGTGATCAGTAATCCCTCCAGTTGTTCCCTTCCTATTATCTGTCTGTGGCAGCTGGACTTATGAAATAGCCCACACACAAAATACGAAGCGTGAAGGGGAGGATGAGGAGATTTTACACACACACACACACACACACACACACATACACACACACTTAAAATGATTTGCATATTGCAGTCAGATCATTTGTACTTGTTTTACCAGACAACTTCTAGCAATAATGAAATTTGAACCTATTTTTAACTTTTAAAGAATTGTTGGAGTGCTGAAGTCACTACTAATTTTATATCACACTGATCCCACTCACACATTCTATTTTGCCCATTGGTGCACAAACTGTTCTCTAGACTGAAAAATCTTCTTCACACACTTGCATCCAAGGCAGGAATCTGCACCATTCGGAAATAAACTGAACACGGTAAGAGCCAATTCTTATCTCTTCTCTCTCCCTCCAGCTATAGCATTAACCCTGTGCCCCAGGTCGTTAAACGCAGTCTCACAATGAGGGAAATCTTTCTGTAAAGACGTACCTTCCTTTTTTATTATTATTATTTTTTTAAATTTTCAATGCTACATTTTATTATTTTTCATAACTTTTGTTTGTATACCTGAGATCATATAGTGACATATTTTTATGCTGCCTTTTTATTGACCAATATATAAATTATGTATGTTAATTACATACTTAGGTTTAAAATAAGGGTAATTT